TCTAATCTGAACACTCAGGTTCCCCCAATGTAATTGTATATGCCCCTCCAGTAACTATATGTGTTTCAAAGAGAGGCATATAACATGTAAATAGGGGAGGGGGGATACTGAAGGGGCAGGGTTAGGATTAGGCCTTAAGGAACTGTTATGTTTATGATTACCAGTACCTCCTGGTATGTTTGCGATGTGTTGGTTATGTCAGCTGATACAGCTGGGATGACCTCCGTGACCCCGGTCACGTGATGATGAACAACCTGTACTTGGTCTGGATTAGTTGCCATAGCAACTGTTTAAATGTCAACATATGCAACGTATACAAACTGAAAAATAAAAATAAAAAAGATAATGAATAGTTAGAATAACTATTGCTACGTTCATGTTATGGGATTAATTAATAAAAATTGCTATATTTAAATTATATCCATTTGTTGTTATGGTATTTATTATGAGTCATCGTGCACATGAACAGCAAAAGAAATTAGAAAAACAATTATTTTACACATCGATGTGGCATTGCAAGAAAAAAACAGATCATTTGCATTCATTTTATTGATTACTACAACATCTGACCATAAATAGCTACACTTCCCTCTATCGTCAAGTCATACTAGTACAAGTCAGTATATGTTCTCTTAAATTCATCACCAAGGGCGTCATTTCAGTTCACGCTGAGTGTTCAGATAGCAAATCTTGGCACATAACACGTTTCGGTCCCAAGCATCTATGGGAACCAGAATCGGCACGTGCTGACTCGGTCTTGACCGTTCACCCACATGTTTGAGCACATGCTGACACAGTCCAGAGTCTCGGCACATACGGAGATCTCTAACGTGAATGCCACTTATAATTATAGTGATACAGAATTTTTCCTATTTTTGCTGGAAGAATGAATCAGTGAAAATAAAATCCAGTGAATACACTTTCATTCCTATATTTTACAATAATCTCATCAAAAATCAGTGAAAATAAAATCCAGTGAATACACTTTCATTCCTATATTTTACAATAATCTCATCAAAAATCAGTGAAAATAAACAAAACAGTCTTTTCAGCAAAAATTAATTCCAGTTAAAATAAAGTTATATTAATAATTTTCTGTCATCGTCAACTTTACATTTTTTAAAAGTTTATTTGCTTTGAAATGTATCTCAGGTGAACCTCTCTCAGATCTATAATTTTGATGAATATTTTTGGTACATGTAAATAGTGTCATTGTTGCCGTCATTTTGCAAACGGTTACCCTGAATGCTTCAATATACATATACTATATTTAGATAACTTGAGTGGACCTCTGTCAGATTTGTTCATTTGGTATTTGTTCAATTCTCTATTTTAACAAATATTTTTGTCATTTTTGGTAAAGAATGCTATTTTATGACACTACAAGAAGAATTGCCTTAATTTTCTCATTTTAGTGAATATTTTCAACTATACAGCTGAGCTGTATCAGTCAACATGCTGCTTATTTATAAATATGTTTAAAAACTAAAACACAACTTTCTGTCGTTCACTCATCAACATAAGTCATATTTTCTTGATCCAGCATACAATTATTTAGTTTATTACTAGGTAATATTTCTTTCTATTGTACATCTGTATTTCTACCAGTTATACAGTGAAGGGCAGAAAACTGTACTTTAGTTTATAAATGTATTTATAATAATTCGTAAATACCGGTCATTCAAATATTTAAAGGGTGGTGGTCGTCGTGCCGCACATGCGCAAGGGTCTCATATAAACAAAGATGGCAATTTTGACTGTACACCAAGTACATACTGAGAGGTTACCAACTTGTGATTTAATTAGAAAAGTGCATTGGATTATGGGAAAATAAATGTTTATCAACACTAAATGTCGCACATGCGCTGCACGACGATTACTGTCCTTTATTAACGATTGGCTTAATAGCATCACATTGTCTACACCCATTATGTGCATACAAGCCTTTGAGTGACATAGCAACTGTAACCGCCCACTTATTCAAATGAAGGGCTTGCTGATTGGATGTTGTTGAACTAGCTCATTAATAATAATTAAACTCATGATGATGTTGCCATATCATTTCTAGGTTGGTCAATTTGAATTCTACCAGTCATTTCGGTTTTATACAAAATGTATATTTATAAAATATTAATAACATCCCCAGCTTTATGCCTTTCACTCTGGAGCAAATACAATTTAAAAACATTTACTGGTATAGGAACAATTTAGTAATGTCCATTACCCATGAGTCTTTGGCTCTTTCCCTAATTTACAATTGATTTATGCGGAACATGGATATAAAAGTATTTTAAGGGAAAATTTTCTCAATTTCTGACAACAGATTTTATGATGTCATACTTTACCCACAATCCTTTGCTGAAGAATCAAGATGGCGGACTACATAAATTGATGAAAAGTTCAATATCTAAAGAATAAAAAGTGATATAAAAAAACTGTAAATTGCATGTTCTTACATTTGCCGAGCTCTTTTATCTGGGAGTATTATGTTGTTAGCATTATGTTTCCTTTAATGCAGTTTGAGCCAAATTCAAATTTTGTACTACTGAGCATGTTACTGCACATATATGCAATGCATTATGGGAGATAACTCCCTATTATATATAATGGGAAACTATCGCCCTGGAAACTCACTAAACTATATGTAAATTTTTGAAATGATTTCACATTGTTAGATTCCAGATCAATTTTGAGAAATGAAAAAAAAAACATTTTTCATGATATTTGAATCATCTTTTATTTTCATTTTTGGTATTCTGATGGTTTGATCTCAGTAACGAATGTATAACAAACATGACAAAAATAATCTTCAATTTGAGGCAACCTCCTTAATTTGACATAAAGATGTTCACCCCTGATAAGTTATTGTATAAAATTGACAATTCTCATCACCACATCACATTTGTAAGTGACTAAGTTTTATTAACTTTTTAAATATAAAAACAATCCAAGTTAACAATTTCAAATTGAAGGTGTGTGCATGCCTCTGGTTTTACATAACTTTGCCATGTGGATGAATTTTCTCTAAAGGAAAGGTATATTATGATTCACTCCATACAGCAAAACATTAATAAATACACGGGGAACTACGTAAACGTCAAGTTTGGATATAACACGAGATTAGATCATGAATTGCGAATACAAATCTTGACCGACATCTTCTCTATATCAAATTATAGGCCCTAGCTTTATAAATGATACAATTTGTTGAAATAGCATAATGCAAATGGAAAAAAGTGGGATAATTCCAAGTCTTATAGACGCGGGGGTATCACTAGGCAACACGATTGGTCATTCACTACATTTAGGCCGGCACTGGATGTATAGTAGTGCACATGACCGTGTATATATCACCTCGTCTAATGGTGTACGTGGAAATATACATATGTAGGTCAACATCGTATAATAAAAGAGCGACATCAACAATAAAGCGAAAACTATCAGAACTAATATTTGTTTAGCGACGGCATTCAAATTTACCCCCCCCCCCAATAAAAAAAAAACGACCTTAACAACTACTACTATAAATATAGCGCACAAAAACGGAACAGAAATATCACATTAAAAATCGGCCATTTTGTTTTCTCGTTTTCAATACAGCTCGTC